CTCTTGGGCAAGTCCATTTCATCCACAGGGCACAAGTATCCACAACGTGAATTAGCTTTAACACCTCACTGGACTTTCCTGGTATTGTGTTTCTTCAACCATAAAACAGAAAAAAATATCCAAACTCCTTGACCTTCAAGGCTCCTCCCTGTTTGTCTAAGAGTTTTGAATAACACATCAGTTACACCATGAGATCAGGATGATGTAATCTCACAGAAGGCAAATGAGTAACTTCTGAGTAAGAGGGAGACTTGGTGAGAAGGGGACTCATTAGCCTTTTATGTGTAAAATTTTTTGATGGAAATGATTTTCCTGATTTAATAGGAAAGGGGAATGGCCCAAGAGTAGTTGAACAAGTTACTTAACCATCATGGAGACACCAAAGAGCAGTCAGGATTTGAACTCAGTCAGCTGGAAGCCAGAGTCATTTCTGACATTGTCACCCAATTCCTTCTACCAAGAAAGGATTCGCATAAGACAGTGAGTGTTTGAGAAACTAGGCATATGGCCCAGGCTGTGTGGTAGTGAGGACTCCACTCTGCTGAGAATCCAAGGGATGTAGGTGATAGGAAGTATGTCTTAAGTGGGAGAGCCGAGAGGGAAGCAGTAGCTTTCCATGCCCTCAGCTTCCTGAGAGTTTTCTGTCCCCCAAAGAAAGTACCCATCAATCTCAGATACCCCAATGGCAAAGCAGTGTTATTATGGCCCCTTCTTGGGGGCAGCCAACTCTTTACCCTCTCTGTGCTTGGCATTGTCTTTGTAGCCCCACAGATCTCCAGACCCTGGATGTTTGTGGTACTCTGGGAAACAGACCCTCTTGAGAGCTCTTTCCCTTTCTCTCTGACAGCTCTTTGGCTCTTGGCCCAGCAGGCTCTTTAGGGCAAGATCTTTTTACAGACTGCAACAGGGCCAGGGCTCAGGCTGATCCTAATGTCATTTTTTTTTTTCCTGACCTCATCCCCACAGGCCATGGAATTATTTGCTGAGATCAAGGATGCTGTCATCCTACAACTCAAAAAACTTTCCTGGATAAGTGAGGAGACCCTGAATGAGTCCCTGAACAAGGCAAGGCCAGGAGTACAGGCCAGTTTGGGACTATTTAAGAGACAGTTGATCACTGGATCAAGAAATGGGACAGAGGGAAGAGGGCAGAGAGTGCATACGTGGGTGACAGTGTTAACGGCTCTTGGGGGTTTCCAAGGGAATGCTGGTTGCTTACAAACTTTTGTGTCTTTTTTCAGCTCACCCAACTGCAGGTGGAGATGGGGGCCCCAAAACGGGACTTGAAGCCAGAGCTGGCCAAAGAGGAATACAGTGATGTGGGTATTTGTTCCTCTCAGTGCTCCTATGTCCTTGACTTCTGACTTCTGGGACCCAACTGAGTCTGCAAAGCAATCCATTGTCTATGGGCAATTCTGAGCTAACCTCTTCTTTTCCCTGGTGCTGATGGAACCTACAGGCAAAAATACTATAACTTTCTAGGGCTCTTATTTGTGCATGCATGCATGTACACACACACATTCTGTAATGTGTTTGTGCTTATCTGCATGATGACGCATGTAGACTCAGTGCCAGTAAGAGGTGATATCACACGGTAGTTTCTGCTCAACGGTGACTGGATGTATCTGAGGACTTACAAGTTTAGATTTAAATTCACCCAGCTCCATCCATTTGATCCATTTGCATCCATCCCCATGCATCTAAACCACCTGCTGCCTCTTTCCCAGATACAACTTGGTCCCAGTTTCCTTCAGTCTTTCCTGAGCTGTGTACGATCCCTCCAGGGCAGAAAGGTTCAGCACTTCTTGCAGCCTTTTCCCTACCACAGGTATGAGAACAGATACCCCATCCCAGAAATGGACTAAGAACAGTGATAACACTCTCAAAGAACATGATGATGGTTGGGAGAGATTGCGTGTGCTTTGCAAAGACAGTAAGTGATGGGGCTGTGTTTGCATTTTCTCTTCACACAGATGGAAGGAATCCCCCTGGGGAGTCAACGCCTACTATTCCATTCCTGACCACGTCGTGGTCTTCCCAGCTGGCCTCCTACAACCTCCATTCTTCCACCCTGGCTACCCCAGGTATGGACCATTCTCTGAAGGTGAGTCTTTTGGTGGGAGAAACTGAAGAGGAATTAATAGGTGTTAGGATGGATGAGACTTAGAGTTGGAAAATGGGGATACATATTTTTTTTTTTAAGGTTTCCGCAAGTAAAACAAGATTTTGTCTCTTTAGAGCCGTGAACTTTGGCGCTGCCGGTAGCATCATGGCCCATGAGTTGCTGCGGATCTTTTACCAGCTCTGTGAGTCATGAGCCAGTGGGAGGTAGGGCCACTAGGGAGGATATCACAGGAGGCCTGGGGGAAGGGGAGGGTTATTCAAAAGTTCCAGTTGGGACAGTTTGAGGAATGCCCCATGCTCCTGGGAGCCAGCTTAGTTTATGGTATCCCTAACGCTACACTGCTCTTCACCAATTGGCTCTCTTGTTCCATTTCCAACAGTACTCCCTGGGGGCTGCCCAGCCTGTGACACTCATGTCCTACAGGAAGCACTTCTATGCCTGGAGCACCATTATGCTGCCTTCCCCTTACCCAGCATGGCCCGCCTCAATGGTTCTCATGCACTCCTGGAAAATGCTGGAGACATAGGAGGGCTGGCTATCGCATTCCAGGTGTGCCCAGGTCCCCATCCTTCTCTTTTCCTAATACTATCCCTCATGGAAACAGTTGCATAGCTTTGTGCCCTCCACATTCCCACTGAACAGATGGCAACTTGGGACCCCCTTCCTACCCTGTAGGTCCCCCACCTTCTAGAACAACTGTAGGTCTTCTGGTAAGTACCCTTTCTTCTTGCCTCAGACCAGTACCTTGTTACATAGATAAGAAGGCTTAGGATACTTGTTGGGATACTATGCTGTGTAGCTGGCATCAGACTTTTAAATGCCTGCAGATCTGAAGCCTAACAGAAATTTCCATCCCATACCCGTATCTAGGCCTACAGCAAGAGGATAGCAGGGCAAAGTGGGGAGATGACCCTGGCCAACCAGGACCTCAGCCCCTATCAGCTCTTCTTCCGAAGCTATGCCCAGGTGAACAGCTACTATTTCTCTCTACACTTGCTCCGTATCAGTTCAGGACCCAATCACTGACACTAAAAGGCTGCATGTCCCATGCTACACTGACCCATGCTTGCAAGTCCACTGTCATGGATCCCCACTTTTAACTTTTCTCATTTGTCCCTTCGGAACCACCCTTTACATGATTACAGGTTCTTTCATCAAACTCAGCAACTGGCTCCCCACCCTACCCCGCAAAGAATAGCCTCTCCACTTCCAAGCCCCTCCATAAGAGAAACCTGTTGTTCCTTCTTTCTCGTGCTTCAGAAACACAGACTATTTTAAAAGCAGCCAGCCACGGGCTGGACATGTGACCATACTACTTGAAGAACTCAGCTCTGGGGCTAGCTCCAAACTAGTATCACTCCCATTGGGACTTTGTGCTCTGTCAAGAGCATGACACACAATTCTTCAACACACCAATGAGCCCCTTACAGAAATCTACTGCTGAACCCCACTTTAGTTCCTTATAAATGGCAGCATTATACAGTCAAGTTTCTTCCAACAGGGTTAGTGCCATATTGAAAGATTTACACATATAAGTTCTCCATGTGGCCCACGTACATCCTGCCCCTTCCTTTGTTCTGCATAGTGATCTCCTAGTCCTTGTCTCCAACCTATCTCCGTGATCCATGAGACTTACTCTCCTCCTTACCCCTCTTTGACCATCTTTCTTCTCAGGTGATGTGTAGGGAGTTGAGCTCACAAGACCCTCAGGACACTTACAGCCCTCCCAGCCTTCGAGTCCACGGGCCCCTCAGCAATATCCCAGACTTTGCCAAACATTTCCATTGTCCACACGGTACCCTTCTGAACCCTTCTGCCCGCTGCAAACTCTGGTAACTTGGCTACCAAAGAGACTGAGATACAGATGCCTGGACACTTGGCCCCATTCTTGAAGTCAGAGCAAATGTCTTTCTTCTTTTTGTTCCAAAATTAAAAGCGTGTATTTAGCTTTTGCTATCTCTCTTTTGTTCCAGTGTGTGTGTGTGTGTGTGTGTGTGTGTGTGTGTGTGTGTGTGTGTGTGTACTGTGGGCACATGTGTGCTACAGCTCATGTGTGGAGGTCAGAGGATAATGTTGGGTACCAGTCTTTGCCTTCTACCTTGTTTTGAGCCAGGTGTATATGCCAGTGTGTATACCAGACTGGCTGCTCCTCCAGCTCCCAGGGACCTTCTTGTCTCCATCTCCCATCTGGGCCTGTCTCACTGTAAGAGTGTCTTACTGTAAGTGTAATATCTTATGTAATCACATAAGAGATTACTCATGCGGATGACTGCATCTGGATGTGAGTGAGTCCTGGGGATCTAGACCCAGTTCCTTACACTTCTGTTGCGATCGTTTAACTCAGAGTCGTCTCCCCAGCCCACTCTGTCATCTCTGAATGCCTCTTTCCTGGTATGTCCTATTCCTAGAAGTCAAGAATGATAAGAGGGAAAAGTGCCAAGAAATCAGCAGCAGTTGGTGAGAGAGTGGGTCTGAAGGTCAGTAAGTAGACAAAAGGCCAGGCAATTCACCAGACCAGTGAGAGAACCAGAAACTCGCTGGCAATTGTTTTCAGGATTTTATTGCTATTGCCATTTTATTGTCACTGTCTCCTCCCTCTAATCTGCTGTTTCAGTCAAAGCTTAAGAGTTAGAAGGGTGTGGGTCTGGTGTCTTTGGCCCTGGGACATGAAATTCTGGGTTGGGTGGCAATCACATAGAGACAATGAGAGTTGAGCAAGCTCTGTGGCTGCACCCTAAGGCCAGGTGCTTCTCAGACAGGGGAGTGGGGTCTGCATTTTGAGGAGGGAGGAAAGGTCAATAAGCAATCACGAAGGGGAGGTAGATGTCCAAGTCCTCGTGCAGGACCCAGACCACTGCCTCTACCTCAAAGTCTCTCATAAAAAAACCATGATGCTGGCCAGGTTGAAGCAGAAGGCTAGATCAAAGAGGTGGTCCCGGAAAGTCGCTGCCTGGGCGAATGTGTCTTCTTCTTGCTGGGCCATATCTATCACCTGCCACAGCTCACCCACTGATGAAGCCATAAAGTGTTCTTCGAACTGCTCCTTTCCCTCGTCTGGAACACGAAAGAGGGACAGAGAGGGGTAGCCCCAATCTCAGGCCTGGTGAGGCCATGGTCAAGGGTCCAGAGACAAGCGAGGGCTGCCAATTGCCAGCCATAATATTGGCCTTGACTAGAAAGAGAGTGCTCTAACTAGAAGGCTTTTCAGTTGTCACTTCAGTCATAGCCCCATCTCAAGCACACACAACCTCCACTCCTCAAACCAGTTCCCACCTCCAACAGGTTACACTATTTGGGGGAGTGAGAGAGACCTTCAGATGTGGAGGCAAAAACCCCTTCTCTAGGTAAATATTCTTTCTCCTTCCTCAGCAGCTTTGGATAATGGCAGCTAGTCCACGCTGTACCGGACTGAAAGTCTTTCTAAAGCCAGACATTCTTACCTACAGCTATTCTTTCATGCTGTGGTGATGGAGAACTTGCGCTATCTCGTGAAAACCATGTCCATCCCAGTTGATCCTGACTTAACCAGCTGCTAGAGCTGAATTCAGCCCAAGCCTACCTTTACTCCAACCCACCCCTCTACAACACTTTCTCCTCTACCCACCTACAGAGAATACTTTCTCTTTCTGACTCCTGCCATCATCCAGGCTTGTGGGGCCCTTCAGACTCTTCACACCCTTCATTTGCAGCAGCAGCAGCAGAGCTGTCAGGAATGTTGCCCTGTGGAGCTAGGAGAACCTGGAAGTCAAGAACTTCTTCTCTCCTGCTGCCTCTGCCCATCCCCAGGCCCCAGAGCCACCCTGTGCCTGTCTCAGCCCTTACCCCATGCCAGCATCGCTTTTCCTCCTTCTCTTCCATAGGACCGCTAACACTGTGTGTTCTGTGACATCACTGCCATGGGTCTAACCCACATTCTAGATCATTATACCATTCCATTTCCACACAGAAGGGTGGGAAATGGCAGGTGCTTCTAAGACAGCCTCGTGTGTCACCTTGTGGATCAACCCCCCCCCCAAAAAGGCTCCAGAGTTTGCCAAGTGCCACCACATCAAAGTAACAGCATTCTTATAGTCACCATTTAGACCAAAAAGCAGGTTCCCTGGGAAAATGCAGCCCGCATGCAGGATCACAGCCATCAGTGGGCAAAGCAGGATTCTCCACTAGTGCTCCTGGGTCTAAATGTGACACCTGCCTATAATTCTATGCAGCTTTTCTCCTAGACAAAGCAGTCGGCACAGATGAGACTAATGACTTTCTACACATTGGTATCCCCAAGTACATGCATTTGCCTGCTCCTCTTCATGAAACTCTAAGTCTGTTGAAAACTGGGAATAAGAACTGGGGCATAGGGGACAGAAGAGAATATGCACACACCCTGTAAGACAGACAGACAGACAGACAGACAGACAGACAGACAGACAGAGAGGCAGAGGGATAGAGACAGCTGGAACATTGTGCACAGTGCATAGGGATGCATAGCGATTGAGGCTGAGAGCTAGGCAGGCAGTACAGTCCCATACTTCCAGTTACTTCGGAGGAGAGGGAGCAGTAGGACAATCCTAAGTTCAAGGGCTGCCTTTGGTACAGAGTGACTTCAGTCAAGTTTGGGAAACATAGTGAGGACCTGTCTCATAAACGTTCAGTGTTAAAGGGGCTGGAGATGTAGCTTACTGGCAACATGTCTGGCTTGGGCAAGAGCCTTGGTTCAATCTCCAGTACTGCAAAAAAATAAGTAATTAAATAAAAGAGAGAGAGAAAACATGAAGAAATAGACGTGAAGAGATGATTATCTTGCCTGAGTAGAGGGTATTCTTTTTTACTCTTCCTTATTTTTCGGATTATTGGACTTTGTCCTGTTGTACAACGAGGCTGAAACACCTTCTTTTATTTTGTATCTTCTTGCAGTCTCAGACACAGAGACACTGTTTCAAGGGTATCTAACAACTCCTTGCTTGGTAGAGGGGTGGGAGTCTACAGAGAGAAGGTAGGGTGGCAAGGAGTCAAAGATCCCAAATAAGGGAATTGTAGAGAACCTGCCCCATGCCTGTTCCCTCCACGGGGAAGGCCTGTTGGCTAGTTGGCAGAGAGGACTCCAAGAGTAGTGTGTAGGGAATAAAGTATGAATGTCTTTGTTAGAAAAAGAAAAACAGACACAGGCTATGAGCAGCCAGCTGGGTACAAAGACAGGAAAGGTTCATTCATATCCCTTTCTTTTATGCACACACTGCCTGGAAAACTGTATGCAAACGCAGGTGTCAGGGTACATACATGAACATCTACTTCTCTCCAAAACAGAACTGGAGACATGCGAAGATAAGATGAAAGATGAAATTCCTCCCCATGGAGGCGACCATGCTAGTGGGTACGCTCACATGGCACCCGCCAGACTCCAGCTCTTACTTCCTTGAGTGCCAAACCAGGTGACAAAAGACTGGGTAGTGACGTAGAAGGGCACTTTACGGTAGTGGCATAAAGATGTAAAAACGCTGTGACCTCCCTTACCCTAACCTTGTACTCATTGACCTGCAGATCCAGCGAATGATGAATGAATGGAAAAAATAAAATCACGAGTGTCCTCCTGGCTATTTTGGAGGAGTGGCTTCTTCGCTCCCTGGTGTGCTTACATGGAAAAACCTGCAGCTCGGGAGGCATGAATGGGGAAGGCAGTAGTGGGAGTGGGGGTTGCAGTGGAAAGAACCCACTTGGGCTCATTATCAATGACTTCCACCTCTTTACCAATTCACCTTCCTGACTCCTAGCCTTAGAAGATGTGAATCTCGCAGAAACCAGTAATTCCTTAATTTTTCTGTTCTTACTAGGTATAAAACACATAAAAGTACAAAGGAACAAAAAGTCCCAACAGTTCCACCATCTAATGATAACTGCTGTTAACGTGGTATCCAGATGTGGTGCTTATTCCCTCCTCTTAGATACTTGTGAGAAGGTGGGAAACCTGCCCTGGACTCAACAGACGAGATGGCATGCCTGCAGCTAAGCTGCCACTGCCCTGCTGGAGAAGCTGCTATCTGGGAGAGAGGCTGCAGTGGAGCTTGATGCAGAAGGCTGCAGGAGCATCAAGGAGAAAGAGAAGACAAGAAAGGACACCACGACAGTACAGACTATTATCAGAAGGAGGGAACAGTGGAGAAAAAAGCCAAGGGAGGAAAGATTTAAAAAAATCTTTCACCTACTAAGATGGATGGAGATGGGACAAGGGACAATGTGGTCCCCACCCAAGTTACTTATTTATACCCCTCCGATTGAAGAACCTAGTTGAGGCATGAGGGGCAATAAAAGATTGAAGACCCATGGGTGGTTGCTCCCTCTCTTCCTTTAGGGACCTATGGCCAATGCCCTTGGTGACCGCACCTGCTCTGTGCGTCCCTGACTGAGCCAGACTCTTCCACCACAGCCCTCCCCCCTTCCCCCTCAAGGATTAGCTTTATGGGCTTAGTGTTTCCTTGGCAAGCGCACCCTTCATGACCTGCTCCCTTTCTGCTTATCAGTGCATCTCTAACCCCCACCCCAATCTTATCGCTCCTCCATCTCCTTAGACTGGAAGTCTGCAGGTTTCAGAGGCCATTAGCATCCACACTGCCCAACCCCCAGTGAGGCATAAAAATGCCGCACAAGGTGACCCTCCACACACTCCCTAGGTAAGAACAGTTTCTCCAAGTCTCGGGCACCTCTTCTTCCTTTCCATATTTCCTTTCCTTCCATCCTTGCCCTGCTCTGGAGGTTATTTTGCTCTCTGGATCAGAGCTTTCTTGCTTATGTCAACAGAAAGGGGCAGTCCCAGGAACCCAAGGCTTTCTAAGGGAGGGTCTCCAGTTTATCCCTCCCAATCCTCGTATCTTTCCCGGCTCTCTCAAGAGTTTCCCAAGAAGTAGAAAGACTCGGAGAGCAATGAATTGGGAGCTAAGGTCCCCATCTTCAAAGCCTGTTTTAGTTTTGTCTGCAGCCCAGGGATTGAGAGAGCACACTCCCTCTCAGTTCCGTGTCTTCTCGTTCAAAAACAACTCCTGCCTTATTTCAACTCACCTCACAGGTCCATCACAAGAGTACATTCGGTAACACTGACAGCTCTCCTTAAAAACCGTAAGAAGGCCAATGCAAAATAGTGTCTAATAAAGTAACACTGCCTTATCCTAATCCATTCTTCCTGCTGTTTCACTTCTAGAAAGTGTCCCATGATTTCTCTCCCCTCTACTAATTCTCAATGCCTGCTGTCCAACCTCGGGAGTCATACAGAACCTCCTAGGAGTCTTCTAAGATCTTTATCCCAGGGTACCTGGTTCACCTTCAAGTTTATCTAGCCTCATTCTCTCTCCAAATTCCTTGGCACCACCCCCTAGCCTCTCCCATTCTCAGTTGGCCAGCCCACTGCCATGAACCAAGAAGGTTCCTCCCCACCCTGCTCCTTACTCCAGGCTGCTTTGTGCCCCCAGGCTCAGTCAGCTATGTGAAGGTCTCCTCCCCTTCTCCCAGCAAGGTGGCTAGTTCTTCAGTGCGCACGCCACCACACACTCTCACCCCACAGCCACCCATCACACAGGACACAGCTTCACCTAGGTATTCGCCCAGAAGACTAGCCTCCTCAGCTGCGGTCATCCCAGAGTGGCGCCTGTCATCAGACTTGCACAGGTGCAAGCGCTTGCAAGAAGACATGGGGGCAAAAAGGCCTTGGATCCAACTCCAGAAACTTCTCAGCTCGTGTGTCAGAGAACAAGACTGGGACCAGCACTTGGATCAGCTTCACATGCTACAGCAGAAGAGGTGGGCTCCTGAGGGTACCTCACCACCTCACGGATTCTCATGACCTTTTGTACACAGCCTGTTCTTTGGAGGCAGCATTCAAACTCAATGCCAGGCTCTTACATATATTCACCCCTTCCAGCCTAGCTGCCATAACACTCCAGCTAGCCCATGGTATCGGTAGTAGAAAGTTTGGCTTAGTATATACAGAGGCTTTGAATGTGGATGTAAAAGTAGGAGACGGATTGGTGGAGAGGTCAAGCGAGGGAAGGTTGCTGGGTAGTAGGTTTTATGGGGGGAGAGATCAAATCTTACAGATGTTGAAGTGGCGTTTGCTTAGAGGACTTGATGAAAGAGTGATCAAGGAGCTGTCATCTGGAAGAATGGAGACTGATTGCCTGGGAGACGGGAGGAGGGCTTTATTTGTGCGATGCTTGGAGCTGACCTGCTGAGGAAGGCAGCTCAGGTGATACTGGAGTGCTGAGTTCAATTTCTGTCTTTTAGTGTGTCAGGCTTGCCAGAGATCAGGGAGATAACTGAAGGCCTTTAGTGCAGTGTGGCTGATCCACTTCCAGATAGATCATTCCAGGAATGAGCTCTGAGGTTCACAAGGAAGAAAAGCTCCCCAGGCAAAGGACCAGAGATCCTCCCTCAGGTGAGCGCCTGCATCAGTGTCTGCCGGAATTGCTTCCCCCTAAGAGCTGGCTGAAATGTGATATGAGTTGACAGCAGAATGCCTGCCAGTGATTCAGAGAGCCTTGTGCTCGACCGTGTCCAGTTGGTCCTCTTTTGAAACTTTTAATGGTTGTGAACACAGAAGTCTATCATTTATCTTTCGCACTGAGTCCTTCTACAGGTACTCTGCTTATTCTCAGAGCTCCTCCCCCAGTTATGCAACGGGAACTTTGGCTTCTCTGTTAGAGTGGGACTAGGGTAGTTTTTTAGTTCATTTGGCTTCTAGACCTTTTCTCAGCAAAGGTGCAGTGGGGTCACAGGTTGGATGGACAGAGCTTTATATAGTAGCCTCAAAACAGAGGGAAACTCTGGAATCCAGCCCCAGCCACTCTGTGCTGGTCATGGCCACAAGGCTCAACTGGGACCAAGAGCTTAGGTGAGCTAGGGTAGGGTCTGACCTCTGACTCTGTAATTCCTCCTGGGAGCATTATGTGGAACACAATGGTTCTTTAGATATAAAGCCCCCTCTCCCTGGAGACACTGGGGAAGAAGAATCAAGGACTGAGAGACATCAAAGGGAAATAGTCATGAGTCGATATCCTCTGCCTTCCTTGCAGCCTTCGCCGGCGCCCCCCCTCCAGATTGCTAGACCAGTGTTTGCCTTTGGAACCTAAACTAAATTGTCCAGGAAGACTGGCTTTGGCTTTATGTCCTATTCCAATTATATCCAGACAAAGTCAAAATCAAAGATTAACCCAGGGGAATTTGTAGGAGAAACGTCTCAAGCAGTTGAGAATCCTGGTACTCATTTCTGTTTGGTTAAAAACAAAGAACCCAGAGTCTAGGTCTAAGGTTTAAGTATGGGAGGAAAGTATGGCCTATGGGCACCCCAAACTCTGTTCCCAGCTGAGAAGACAATTTGAACAACCCAACGTAGTGGTGAGAACTTGAGTGGGGACAAATGCGAAAGTCCATGGCTCGGCTTTTAACAACCATCAAACTTAGGTGGTGAATGTCACACAATTTGTAAATTCTAAAGGCTAGTCCAAGTCCTGCAGTGTCTTGTGACCAAACTCCCCTTGCCTGGAGAGCAGGTCTAGCTAGTCTGGGAGCCTGGGGAACTGATAAAAATGCCTTCTCCTTTTTGTGTACCTTTCAAGCTCCTGACAAACTTTGTGTGGCTTAGGTGAAGTACACCAGGCCTGAGGTCCTCTATTCATTTTCCACAAGGATACTCTGAAACACGCCTCAGGCCCCAGACTCTCCTTCCTCAGGAACTGTCTATCCCTTATGTTTTGTTTTTAATTAATTTATTTTTTTATTTACTGTGTTTTCCATTAAAATATAATTACATCAGTTTTTTTCTCTCCCTTTTCCTCCCTCTAACCTTCCCCATGCCCACCCCCCCAATTGATGGCCTCTTTTCCTTTGATTATTATTGTTTTACACACACACAAGCACACACATATTTGCAAAAATAGGAATACAACTTGCCGAGTACACTTCCGTTGTGTGTGAATGATTTCCAGTTAACCAGGGTGCATCAGAGAAGTATTTGTGGAGCTCATCTCCAGGATAGGCTGGTTGTCCCTCTCTCAGCAGTCATTAACTGCATATAGTTCTTTGTCTAGGGGCAGAACTCTGATATTTTCTCTATTTCAAGTTAACATGTCTATTGACACTGTCACCATTCAGGTCTTGTTTGGGCAGCTGTTTTATCAGAGACAGTCTCACAGCAGACTTTATGGTCCTCTGGTTCTTACAGTCTTTCTGCCTTCTCTTCTGCTGTTTCTGAGCAGGAGTTGTGTCGAAGATGTATTCACTGGGGGCTTGTATCCCCCTGTTCCATTGATCTGTGCATGGTGTTCAGTTGTGGTTTTCTGTGATGGTCTCTATTTTCTGTGAAGAAAATCTTTAATGAGAGTTGAGAGCTATACTTATCTGTGGGTATAAATATTAGAATGTTGTTAAGGATTTATGCTTATCTAGTAAACTGATGGCAGTCGGTTCTCTTCTAAGATCTATGACCTCACTAGCCCCATGTAGTTGGCTGTGTTCCTAGAAACAGGCATGATTTCCCTCCTGTTGAGTGGACCTTAAGTCCAATTAGACAACTGTTGGTCACTGCCAAGACAGGCGTGTCACAGTTGTACCTTAGGGATATCTTGCCATGCTGGTCAATGTTGTGGTTCATAGACGTCACAGTAGGATAGGACTATTGATTGCTTTTGTCTGTTGGCAGCTTGCGCAGTACTTTCTAGTACTATGGAAGACAGACTGTAAGCAGGAGGCTTTCAGGTTCAATGCAGCTTGAATAATCTGAGACCTGTGTCTGAAGTTCAATGTCTTTAACAAGTGAAGAACTGTCCTATTCATTTATAAACGGACAACTAAGACTCGGGCCATTCACAAGCCTTCACTTTCTGGGGGGAATTAAAATGAGAAGAACAACAAGGGAAGTCAGAATGGCCTTAAAATAAGCTCTTGCCCCAGTGTCTTCTCATCCCTTGAGTCCAACAAATAGCTTGAGAGTGACAAAGCTGACTTGTTGCTTCGAACTCTGCGAGTAGTGACCATATCAGAGAATGGCTCTGCCTCCTCTGACCATGGCCTTTCTGTAATGGTCCCTAAAGGACTTCTACTCATCTTCCTCCAGTATACGGGAGTCTCCACTGCTTAGAGCAGCTAAGGAAAATGACCTGTGTACACTTAAGAGACTTCAACTTGACCAGAGCTGTGACTTCCGACAAAGAGGTGAGACCAGAATCACAGGGAGAGATGTGGCTTTGGAAAGGGCTGCTTGGGTCGGCGGGGGGAGGGGCGGTGCTCCTGGAGACTTCCCTGACAGAGACTGGCCCGTGTTTGGTATTCTGGCCTTGTTTCATTCCAACAGCTCTGGGGCAGACAGCCTTGCATGTAGCAGCCCTCTATGACAACCTGGATGCTGCCATCATGCTGATGGAGGCTGCTCCATACCTGGTCACAGAGTCTACACTGTGTGAGCCATTTGTAGGTGAGGAGGCTTCACAATAATTCACAGCTGAAACAGATGTGGATGGGTGGTCTACCGTTTCAAAAATGTGTCAGTGTAGGGTGGGCTCAGGGAAGTGGTGGAGGTTCCTCATGAGATGACATAAATAGAAGATTCTAGATCTTGGCTTTTAGTCTCCATGGCTCCCCTTTGGCTGTTTCATATTTCTCATTAGTTTTCTCAGGCTCCCTGAGGCCAAGGGGTGCTCTGTCCCCTCCCTCCCTTCTTCCCTCTCTCTCATTCTCTCTGAAACATTAGACTGATTGTATGCATAGCAACCCCGCAACAAATGAAGGATGGAGATACTGGACCAGGAGTGTGAGGGATTAACTCTCCTTTGTCCCTGGCTACTCTTGAGTCTACAGAGGAAGTTTGCATGAAAGAGCTCTCAGGGAACTTTTGTAAAGGGTTTTGGGGTGTTGTGCCCCAGACAGAATTGAGTCTCACAGCTCTCTCTGGGCCAGGTCAGACTGCACTACACATCGCAGTCATGAACCAGAATGTAAACCTGGTCCGTGCCCTGCTTGCCAGAGGTGCCAGTGTCTCCGCCAGAGCTACAGGCTCTGCCTTCCACCGAAGTCCCCACAACCTTATCTACTATGGTGAGACCCAGGGTCAGGATCAGAAAAAAGAAAGATGGAGGGTTGGGGTGGGCAAAAGGAGGAGACATTAAGGAGGAGCCTTTCCTTGGTTCCATCTTTTGGGAATCTGGGAGGGGATAGTCCTTCTAGGACTTAGAACCAGAGGCCAACTCCCTCCATAACACTCTGTGACAATTTTCCCTTGGAATCCACGTGATCCCAAATCACAAGCCAAGATATTGGAGGAGGAGGCAGTTGCTGGGCTGAGGGCAGAGGCCCCTCTCTTCTTCTGATCCTGCTGTGTCCTGTCACATGTCTCCTTGTGTCCACAGGAGAGCACCCTCTGTCCTTTGCTGCCTGTGTGGGCAGCGAGGAGATTGTCAGGCTGCTCATTGAACATGGAGCTGACATCCGGGCCCAGGACTCCCTGGGTAAGAGCTGGGACGAGGAGAAAGTGCTAGATGCTGTGTGTGTGACTGT